ATGTTGAAAGGATAACAATAAAGAAGCCAGAGAATTAGTTTACTTTCAAAGATCTTTCTTTATTTTTGCTTCCAAGAAGCTGAACTTTCAGTCTTTATCAGACTTATTATATCCCACTGGGACAAAATCTACAAGATATGCAACATCAATAAATATAAAGTTCATCTCATCCACTCAATAACGCAGTGAGCATTCAAAATCTTCATAAACTCAAACGTTGCACATGCAAAACAAACCCAATAAATAGATAGTTATAAATATTATTATTTAAATTATGAAATTGCAAAACTATACAATAGCAAAAAAATGTGATGACAAGCCCATCAATATGAAAATAAATACATTATGTAGTATCTCATTTACATAAGCTGCACTAGGCAGAGCTTTAAACAAGTAAGGATCAAATCTAACGGCCTAAATAGACTTACAGAAAACATTTTAGATGCATCATATGTCAGACATAATGACAATAAATATACCTATACGTACAGGCGGGTGTGACTTTTGATTTTTGAAGCCTCAGCAGTGATTGGTCAGAGAGCCGCTGGAGATGTTCCCTCTCATCACCCTGAGTCTGACCCTCTATAAATGGTTGCATTTTAAAACAAACACAACATGCACTGTGGTGTCGGCTGCTCTGCTAGTTCCCTAGGGGGTGCTGTTGGCTCTGGTGCAGGTGCAGCCCACAGCCACCTCCACTCTGACAGGCTTCAAGCGGTACTTCTCCTTGTCCCTGCAGAGCTCCTTCTTCAGAAACACCATGCTCTGTACTACAAGTGCTGAGTTGTAGTCGTGGCTCTCCACCAACTTTGAGTTCTGGATCAGCACACATCCAGTGCACAGGCACTGAGCCCTGGTATAGGTGGAGGGAAAGTGATCTTCCATCGTTTCACGTCTGGGAAGAAACAAGATGAAGACACAAGAAACAAGATGTGAGACGGTGAGGAGAGGTGACAGAGAAATGTTACACCCCATATGCCATAATATTTATTCAGAGAGACAGTGGTGTCATCTGGAGGGCACTCCTCTTTATCTTGGCCTGAGTCCAGACTCAACTGCATCTGTGAATCTTGTTTCACAGTCATTGTGTGCACAGCATCATTATGGGTTATCTGAAATGTGAGGAGAGACTCCAACCAGGCTGCTTTCTGTTAGACTTCTCATGCCAAAAGAGAATTCAATCTCTGCTTTAATCAATGTGTTGCATTTTATAAACATATCAGTTGTTTTATGCATTTCTAAACCTGAACTGATTCAGCTCTATCAGAGCACTGCAGCATTATTATTCTCTCTGGTTTTACTATTTAAAGGTATGTGTTTGAGTAAAATGAACTTTTTTTGTTTTATTCTCTAAACTACTGACAAAATGTCTCTGTTTTGGAATTCAACTGGAATGGAATGGCTGCCATACATGTAGAGATTGAGATTCAAGAACAATGTGTGGTCTCTTCATTTTCTCCTGAGCTGTAGCTGTTATAAGACAGTCATGTGTTAAAAATAAAGTATAATAGTTCTCTCTGAAGAGTGGAATTAGCATAACATGGAAATACTTCGTTTATTTTCTCCACTGGAGAACTCAAAAATCTTTCCAAATTTCTAGTTTTCGTCTTAAGTTTAGGTCCATATTCATAAATATCCTTTTGTTGAATCCAGATAATGTTAAGTGACCCACTGGCAATGTTTTGGTGAAACTCGACAACTTAAAATGGTGTCCACCGTGAGTTTGGAACATTACTGACTTCAGAAAGCTTAGGACTGTAAACAGGAAGCACACTCTCCAATCACAGACACACAGACAGTTAATACAGATGACAGATTCCACGTTTTACTCAGTGGCAATTTGCGTCATTCCCAGAAGAAATGTGCCAACAGAGCTGTGGTGATGTTGGGGGGGAATCCCCGGTCCTGAGTGGAGCCGCCGGGGCGCGGTGCACCAATACCAACACTGCCTTCAATAAACAACCAAGAGCACTTACGCAACTATTGTGCAAATGTGTTTTCATCACCTCATAGTTTCACTGCAGCTTCATGATGCTGAGAGATGCTGAGTGTTAGAGCGGCACCATTCTATATATGCCAACAAAACCCAATTCTACAGGTTTTATTATTATAACAAGATCGTATATGTTATAGCTAAGAGGTTCATAACAATATGAGAAAGAAAAAAAAATAGATATTGATTAAAAATAAATCTTTTGCTTGAATATTTTAAGATTTGGAATATAAATAATAATAGTTCATACATATTTTGAGATCTATAAAAGCTTGAGGAACTTTTATGGAAATATTTCCCCCTCACAACTTACAACACATCGCCCTCACAACTTTCCCAACATGATCTTGAACTGGGACTCTGAGAAGCTCAATCTCAGAGGCACAAGCAAGTATGAAGCAGTCCGGTCATGTTTGATGTTTTCTTCACCAGAGAAAAATAATTACTCTGTTTGATCCAGCCACACTCCATCAGGGACCAATGACGGGGTCTCACCCTTTCAAGCCCCTGACCCCCTGCTGCAGGTTCCAAACAGACCTGACATGTGAGTGCACCGCGTGTTACTTACACGTATCCCCAGGGGGACAGAGACCTGTCCTTCAGGTGTATGGGGGGCTGCTGCGTGAACATCTCCACGGGGCAGGAGTACGAGGGGCCCAGTGGTTTCTGGTTCTGTGGGTGCCCCTGGAAGTGGCTCCTCAGCTCCCTCTCTGCTGCCTCCTTCAGATCTTGTTCAGGGAGGCAGCGGTTGCTCCTCAGAGACCAGCCGGGGGCCAGGAGCCCAAAGAGGAGCCCAAAGAGAAGGATCTGTGGAGGAGCACATAGCTGAAGGGACGGAGCAGGACCAGCATCTGTGTTCTACACTCAGACCTTTACTTTAATGAAATGTATTATGACAAAAAACGCACACATAATTGCACTAGGTCGGTTGAAAGCAATAATATTATGTTGAACTCAATATTATTGCTTTCAACTCTTTAGTTACAATTATGTGTATGTTTTTTGACATACAGTAATACATTTAATTAAAGTCAACATTTCAGTCTGTGTGTGTGTGTGTGTGTGTGTGTGTGTGTGTGTGTGTGTGTGTGTGTGTGTGTGTGTGTGTGTGTGTGTGTGTGTG